AGAGAGAGAGAGAGAGAGAGAGAGAGAGAGAGAGAGAGAGAGAGAGAGAGCATAATACGTAAACAGGATGCCCCTTAAATAAATCCATGTGTGCAAATGTCATATGTAAATGCCAAAGAGCTTTCTTCGGTCTGTCCTGAGGACATGCAGCCACCGGTATGGGCTGCAGGACTCAGCCGTACCCTCATTCCCCCACAATTTCATCTATTCTTAATCTGCTTTAAAAAGCTTATCTGATCCAGTGATGAATTAAACACAATACAGGTGGAGGTCTACGAACAAGCAGGAAGTTGAAAAGAGAACCGCTTAAACGGAATCAAAAACTTTTGCAATGATTTACAGCAATCCATGTGAAAAAAGGAATAGGAACAATTATATATTATACAATTAAAATTATATATATGAATTTCAAATTTACGAACTAATATTTCTAGATTCCTTCAAGTGGAATGAATACAATAAAACCCACATAAACCTCTGTTCATCACATAGAGTGTGTCTTTACCTCAATGTAGGAGACGAGTCGAGGGCAAACCCTGTATGGAGCAAGCACACATGACAGGGGGGTAGTGTTTGGGAAGGGGGAGGTCACAGCGTAGCTCACTTCTGGTAAAGAAAAGGTTTTGTAGCCAAACTTCTCGTAAAGCTTCAGCAGATCTTCATCTGGCTTCTCTTCACCCTCACACAGGACACTACCCACAATGTAGCGGCATTTCTCTGGTGGTCTCTGAAGAGATAAGGGAGAAAAAAAATATTTTACTGTTTGGTAACTTTCTCTTAAGCATGAACTTTCTTTCCTGAAAGCTTTCAAAAAACCATTTAAATATTACCCAATTATAAATAATATATGCATTTATATATTTCCAGTTAAGTTAACACTTATTAACAACCATACCATATTATGTTTAGAAATTATATTTGATTTAAAGCGATAGTTCGGTATTTTTGACATGAATCTGTATGGCATCCCCATCACCAGCGGCATGCAATCACACTAACTTACCCCTGGCAGCATCCTGTGAGCAGAGTTATCGTCCAGTTTTGGTCAAGCCAAAAGTAGTCC